TGTAAAATTTTCTCTATGACTTCAAAAGAGTCAAGATCCGACGTGTTAATTTCTTTTGAAACCTTTTTTGAACAATTGATTAAAGGTTTAGAGATGATATCACGTGTAATGATGTCATTAAAAATATTTTGAGGATTTTCCTCATTTAATTGGTTCACGCGTCTACCAAGATGCGTCTCAAAATCAGCTGATAACAAAATTTTAAATTCAGCATCGGGAAGAATATTAGTTGATACATCTCATCCAACTACAACAAATCCTTTTTTTTTCGTTAATTTCTTAATTTCTTGATTGATTAACGTTCGTATTTCTTTATCTTTTGATAGTTCAGATGCCTTTTGAGAAATATCGAGGGAATAAAATGCGCTTAAATTAGAACAGTTAATTAAATTGTCGTAGGTGTGTTGATTAAAATTCGTAGAATTTATATTGTAGTAAGCTAAATAACGATAAAATAAACCAGAATCGATAAAATTAAAATTTAATCGTTTTGCCAAAGAATAGCCAATAGAAGTTTTTCCAGAGGCGGTCAGACCATCAATAGCGATATTGAATGTCATCGTTATTGAACAAATAATAAACTAATCGGTCATTCGTTTGACGGATTAGAAAAATATATACTTATTCAGGAATTTCGTAGATTGTTGGTAAAATATGCTTCCGATATAATAAAGTAGAAAAATATAACAAAAGTTGATTTTTTTCCACAGAATCAATTCGTGTCAAATCAAATTTTAGATTGTAAAAATGCGAAATATTTCGTAAATGAATATAATATTTTTCTTTAAACTTTTGCGCTAATTTAAAATTATTAATATTTTTTAAGAATACAAAATCGTAATCATTCACCAATTCGCGCAAGCATAATGAAGACATTTTACGGATTTATTTTTCCGATTGGTGCAAATAGCACTAATCGGATAATATATTTATTTTTTATATAATAAAAAAATAAAAATAATAATATATAATAGAAAATTAACAACATTTGATAGAAAAATTTTGAACATCTTGTTTGTTTTTATATAACGTCACGAATTCATCATTATCTACAACACCCAAACATTCGTGTTCAATGTTATTAATATCTGACGTATAGAATTTACATTTTTTGAATTAAGTAGATGTGCCATTCTTATTTTGTTGACCAGAAGGATATGTGTATCCACATATATAAACACATCGACATTGTGATGATATTT